TAAGAACCACGATCAGGGAAGTTTTGAGTAGCGGACATCCCTTAACCTATTTTATTATTTTAACTTCGTAATCATTGATACCTACCTACTCCTACCTACTTATTTTTTTTGCAAATTGTTAAACACAGAAGTATAAATTGAAGTTCTCGATTTCAATTACATTTTTTTCAGTAAGCCAAGTTATGTCTTAATCTACTTATTAATTGAGAGCTTGTATTAACTCCTGTGTGGGCAGAATGCCAACTTGACTACACTACTTAACTCAACATCTGTCTTCGTATTATCTACATTTAATTTTGCTGGAAAAAAGCTTGATTTAAAGTGCTAACAACGTAACGAAATTGCATTTTTTTACCAACCTGAACTTAGATCGCTTTAGGTCCTATAACAGAGCGGATTATAACATGAAGCTGCCTGTACAAGCAGGTACTTCTTCTCACAAGCATTTATTGTATACCATGAGCTCTCGCGGTCCACACCCACGCGTGGGCTGACAGGCGTCTGTCTATCTGTTCAAATTCCCGCCCACGCGCCATGTTAACATGAAGCGGTTTTATTTTATTGGCGATTCGTTGGGATCGCGAATAACGGCTCGGTGCCGGAATTAATGGCGCGGATTTGTTGGTTTTTGGGGCGATGAAAGTTCAGATTAGGATGGGATTTAAAGATTTTTTTCAGTTACAGACTAGTACATTTAAAAATTTCAACAATTTACGGGCTCTTCCCAAAGTTGAGGAAGATGACACATACATACATTCAGCCTATTGTTTTTATTTTAAAAAATTTCATAGTTTTTTTTAATGCATAACAAGGCAGGTATTCGACCACAATCGCACCTGTGTGCCTACCATGAGTTTACGTTAGGTGTGCTCGCTAGCGACTGCGTAAAAAAATGACATTTAAAGGTTCGGACAAACCAACGCGTGCAGCGATGGCGATGGCGATGGCGACCACTGCGCGTGCAAAAGTTGTTTCACACTGCCGCGACCGCGATGGCGATCACTGCGCGTGCAGGTTGTCACTGTCAGCACAACTGTCACGCATATTGTCTATCACGCCTATTCGGCAAAATGGAAACTGAATTAAATGATTTGTTTGGAGCTTTTGATGCAATTGAGACAGCGGAAACACTTTTTCACTCAAGTTTATTCAGGCGGCCATAGAATGAGACAGGATTACATGCGGTATAGGTAGTAGGTATTGGTTACTCATAACCAAGTTATTTTCTGGCTTCGTTTTTAGTCCCTAGAGCCCTAACAATACCTTTAATTAGATTTAAAGAAAGGTTTGATAGGAAGGAGGACTGCACTAAGGTTTTTTTGGCCTCAGTGGGAGAAATGAAACACAACGCGGACGGTTGATATCTGGTTTATTACTGTTATGCTATTGCTATATACAAGATTTACATAATGTACACAATTCAATGTGTCCAGTCCAATGTGCCGTCGGTGTAGAGTGCCTACGGTGCACGTTCGTTCAGGGTTCATGGGCCAGTCGGCTAGCATGTTGTAGGTCGCGGTCGATGCCGACGTGCTCGTACAGTATCTTTGTGGGCAAGTAAGATTATAACCAATTCATCTTTTTCCTTGAGGGAAAAAAATTGCCCCCATTTCCTTTTACCATTGTCGTTCATCGTTAAATCGCACAAAACTACACAGAACTCAACACAACATCTATCAAAATCAATTTTCATTTTCATTTTTGGTGCAACAGTCATCTTGACATTTACTTTTTTTAAGGCAAAGGAAATTACATTATGCACCCAAACCACAGAGTAGGTACATAATAGTCCAAATATCTTTTTTGTCTATAATAATAACCCAAAAATACAAAAAGACATCAGTTTTGATCAACTAGGTGTTTCTAGTGGCACTAAATTAATGACTGAGACGTTTGATGACTTTAATTAGGTTTTTATTTATGGCATACTTAGAATTGCTCTAGGGCCTTTGAGAAAGCTGCAGACATGTACATTCTCAATTATTTTGTTCTGCAGATAATATCCCAATTTTATTTATGAAGTTGAAGAAGCAGGTTCTCGAGAAAACTAGAATAATTTGTTTATTACATAAAAATAAATTCTGATATTGATACTTTATTCTAAAACCTTTTTTATTATTCAAGTAGGTCAGACTAGTGGTATGTTAAGAATAATTAATTTTTAATTGTGTAAAAACTTTTTAACAGATCCTACTTACTATTTATTACATCAATTTTAAAAAACAGAAACGTCACAGTGGCATATGTCGCGATGATCGCTGATCGCTGCGTGCAGACGCTGCATAGATCGCCGCGACCAATGACAGGACGCGTTGATGTGAACACATCGCTACAAATTCATACACGCTGTCTGGTCGCCATCGCCATCGTCATCGTGCACGCCGGCTGCACGCGTTGGTCTGGTCTAACCTTAAATGTATGACATATTGTGCAGCGCCCCTAGCGGCTACTTTCAAGAAATAAAATCTTCATAGAATTTTTTGACGTATTCGCTAGCGAGCTCACCTAACGTAAACTCATGGTAGGCACACTGATGTTAAGTGGGATGCGGTCTAGGATGGTACATATCTGCCCTGTAAGTGCCTATTCACTCTCGCTTTGAAAAGGCCCGGATTATAGTCTTCGGGAAAGACAGCAGCAGGCAACAAATTCCAGTCCCTAGCTATTCGCATTATAAAAGAGTCATCGAAACGCTTAGTGCGAGCTGGTGGAATGTCAACAATATAGGGATATCAATATAGTGTATATCAAACAAAAGCTCTGTATTATCAAGATTATTAAGAGATAAGAGACTATCAAAATTAAGCAAATAATACTTTAGGTATAGTATCGGAACATAAAATAAGTGAAACAAAATTGTTATTTGTATTTTATTGGTGTGACAGTATGAATAACATAAATAACAAGGTATGCAACACCATACAAACATAAGATAAATGTATGCATGTGCACTTCTTTTGTTCTGTGATGTTTAATTCACTTGACACACTTTCAACTCGAGTTGATGCCGAGTGAGATTGCATGCAATCTTTGATTGACATCGGCATTGTGTGAACATAATGAAACTATGTATGGTTGTCTCACTCTAAGTTAAGGCAATAAAACTTTTATATAGCTATAAATTATTACTATTAAACCCCTTTGTCACAAAATTTTTGCGTGATTTTACAACATGTAGGTAGCATGCAGGTAACAAGTAGGTAGTCCACCTACTTGAGTTTCATTTACGAGTACTCGTACTACCATGCGATATTATGAAATATGTAAGTCCACTGTAACTCCATATTTATCTTTTGATGTACATGAAGACTGCGCTTTCGATTTAATATGAACAAGTATTTGACGTTTGTTATGAATCATTGATAGTGTCTTGACTTTCCACTTCGCGGATTAGATTGGTTTCTTTTCACTTTCACGTGAATAATAATTGTGTGTTTTGGATTCGTAAATTATGTAATAGTATAATCGTATCTAATGAAGGCGAGTAGATTTATTAGCAATACCAAGAACTCTATATTAGTTAAAATACAGATTGAACTTTTTAGCTTTATAGCCTCTAGACTCTAGTGTGTAACAAATACCACGGACCCAATTGCACAATATTAACCAAATACACTGGAGTCAAATATTTAAAACATAACTATTTGTCAAGTTCAGAAGAGACAAGACAATTGGTATTTAAAATAAGTATCGCTCTGTGCCGTTTACAAACACATTCAGACAGTTATGTTGTAAGAATGCTAGCGGGTTATAATTGACTAAAATTACAACCACAATTTAGCAATCTAATCAAGCATGTACTAATCGTAGTGCGTATTTAATAATGCCTTTAGGTGCATAGCTTTACTTAAGTATAAGAAACACAAGTCTAAAGCAGGACCCGTATGGTTTAATCCAGCTTCCAGACCGTTATTGCATTTCTAATACCTACCGCAGGAATGGGTCATGAATAAACATTACCGAGTTATTCAGAATGTCACTTTGTTTAATTCTCTCACTCAACAAGGTCAGTCTTCACTGATTTTTTTTCACGTGTAAACTTTTAATTCAAATGAAGTGTATTATTTTCATGTTTTGACTTATTAAAGTAGTATTTCATATTTTTATACTGATATTATAAATAAAATAAACGGCTAAAAATAAGTAAAGTTATTTACCTTAAACTCTGGATTAAAATTACATTTTCATACTAAATGACAATTTAATCCAGAGTTCAACTAGGGTGTAACTTTTATTAATAAGGGGTGAGAATATTACGCTCCTTACTCTAAATTGTCAGTGAAAACGCGTTGTAGCTAAAAGCTCTTATTGTACGTCACTCAAAAAGTTAGAATTTATGATTTGCATGTTGATAAAATATTTTCAGCAAATGTATGTTGGTAGTTTTCATTGATTGCAACCCTCAACCACAGGCCCATCTAGGTGAAGCATTGTCAGGCGATTGGAGCTATAACGTTTTACGAGCCATAAAGTTATTTGTAATTTCATACGAGCCCCCATAGGATTACTTTGAAGGTTTTGTGGCGTGATAAAATTCGTCGCTTTTCATTGGTGCCACAGGGTAAATATACAATATTTTCCGAACGATAAGGTCACGGCTGTGTTATTATTATCCAAATCCGAAATAATTCAGCTATTTATTAAAAACAAATCGCGTATTGCTCCTCGGCCACGCGACACTGGCTAACAAGAAAAACGACATTATTTTTTCGACGACTACTCTCGACTCTCCTTTGTTTTTTCTCACCTCAACTCTCGCCCGATATTTCACGCAACACTTTTCCATGACTTGAATTTGTTAATTATAATTTACCTATAGATAACGAAAATTTCTCGTTTTTACCCACATCCAGTAATTATTATTATAGTTTACAAAACCTCGAAGCACACATTACACACAAGGTTTGGGTCCATCGAGCCTCTACATTGACATGATAACTTTTCATATTAAATATTATGTCAGACCACTGCAGTCTGCTAACCTACATGTTTGCTTGCAGGCGGAGGAACTGAACGCGCTGGTGGGAGATGCGTTCCGAATGGCGTTCGCGTCGCAGCTGCAGCCCTCCGCTCCTCTCTGGGTGAGTCTATGATTTATACAGTTTGTATTTATTATACTAGGTCAGACATCCACACGCTATGTTTATTAGACTCCGTTAATGTCTTATGAAGTCCAACGATCAAAATAATAAAACAATAAAAGAACGTATTACAGCCAGAAATAACAACTAAAGATAAGAAGCAGCATTGAACGTAAAAATTAGAGATTTTTTCGCATACATTTGGCCCGAATATGTACGGACTTTTATCTCACACAACGTATCTAGCACACCCTATACATAATATTATCCTCTATGGTCAAGCAGATTAAAGTCTATCAAATTGAGTACGAAATACCCATCTGAATTCACCATTCATTTATACTCCTAATATGAAAACGTCAGCAAAATCATTAATTTTAATTACCAGCAAGGACAAACGAATCTAAAATGAATGCTATGCGTATTTGATTCCGTTCACTTAGCTAACTGGTTTAGTGTTCTCGCAGCAAGGAAACCGCCTATATCCGTATCCATGATACTTGTTCCCAAGCTACTTACAGCCGGTGTAATTACAGACACCAGGGGCAATACCAGTCCTCAAAGTGGCCAATGGATTCTGTCTTGCCTGAGACAGATGGCCGTCTTGTTGTGGGTCCAGTTGTATTAAATTTCCAGTGTTATTATTGTCGTTTCAGTTAAGTTGCTTAATTTGTTTCTGTAGGTATAGTGGAAAATGAATGTAGTTTTGTCGAAACAGTGTTGTTTTTATGGGAGTTAACTTTTTAAGCTTAGCTTTTTGAGATTTTAAACTTTCGCGTTCTATTTCAACTAAAAACACAGATCTCAACGTGACCGCGCGTTGCTATTTTAGTTAAAATGTTTATGTTACTGTTAAAAAATAACTTGCTAAAATTAGCTGAAAATAAACGAGTACCTACGCCTACAAAGCTTTTGAGCCGCACCGAAAAAGAACGTATAAAATATACGTAGGTAGTTAGGGACTATATTATATTAGCTTGCCGTGTACCGTGTCTTGCCTCGGTCCCAGAGGCCGGCCGAAGTGCAATATTGTTCTACGTGCAACGCAAGGTGCAGCCAACAACGTTACCGATGATTTAGAGCCGCAATAACAACTGCGGCTAGCGGCTGCCGACGTCAGCATTATATTCAGAAAACTCCATGGTAATAAAGCCGCTAGTAAGCACTTTTGCCCATAAATGTATGAACATTTACCCTTTATTTGAAAAGGATAGAAATAGGAATATCATACTTAATAGTTAGAACTTAATTGATATCTCTAAATTATATAACTCAAAGGTGTCAAAGGTCACTGACTGACTGACATAGTGATCTATCAACGCACAGCCCAAACCACTGAACGGATCGGGCTAAAATTTGGCATGCAGGTAGATGTTATGACGTAGGCATCCGCTAAGAAAGGATTTTACGAAACTCCACCCCTAAGGGGGTAAAACGGGATCCACGCGTACGAAGTCGCGGGCGGTCGCTTTTTATCAAATAATACTGTGACACATTGGTGAGTTGTATAAACGCAAGCAAAAGAAGAATATTTTTTCCAAATAAACGGTTATACTTACTTTCATTTTGATTTATCAATTCTACCAGCACTAATATCATAAATGCGAAAGTTTGGATATACGGATGTTTGTTACTCTTTCACGCAAAAACTACTGAACGGATTTTATTGAAACTTTACAGTATTATTGTTCATAACCCAGGATAACATATAGGCTATAATTTATGACGATATGTGATAAACTAAATGTAACGCGGGTGAAGCCGCGGGCAAAAGCTAGTTTTATTATAAATCATCTGCTGCTTCAGCAATAACTTGCAATGAAAAATTATGTCATCTCCTGCGCTCGCCCTGTCATTTGAATATTTAGCTGCATGTAATAGCATAGTTTAATTATGCTAATTCGCGCGCATCAATCACCCGCAGGATGTGCGCGGGCGCAAGGTGACGTACAACTTGACTATCAAGCGGTCTTTACAATATGCGATTGAAGACCGCCGTGTGGTGACGGCAGAGTAGAATACATTTGTCACCAACCCATACTCTTCCCGCGGGTGTCGTAAGAGGCGACTTAGGGACTACACATCAAACAGAGAACGGGCAGCAGCGCTCTCTGAAAAACATCAATCTTTTAAACTGCGATCTCCAACCCGCCTGCCAAGCGTGGAGATTATGGCAAATCCCTCCACTATAGTGGAGGAGGCTCATAGTCCAGCAGTGGACTGTAAAGGGCTGTTGATGATTGATGATGTTAAGACATTAAATTATTGTCGAATAGATCATTAATTTTCAATCGAATTCCATTGTCCCAATTAACAAGACTGTTAAACAATCGATACATTTAGTTAAAAAATAAATAATCATAATCGCATGATTTTTGCTGAAGCAAAGTTGTTTTTAGTGCGGTTAGGTAACTTTTCTTTTGTCTTTCATTTTCAACGCTACCTGTAGGCCTAGGATACACGCCGCGATAAACGTTTATCACGCCGTTTTATCGATTTAACGCGATAAGCCTATATATTTGTCGTCTAAAATCATCGATAAGATTTCATCACGGCGCGCATCCCACCCCGGCTGATATGCCGGTTCGATAGGACCTTATTAACCATAATCTGTCTGTGTAAATATCATATTTGTTGTGGTAGGTCCTACATAACTATTGGGATATTTATAACCCCGGGAAGATAATGACGCGGCGCACCTTCCGTTCACACGGGATCTGACGATTAGCATGTTTTATTTTTAGCCTTGTCGACAAGATCAATGACAACCCATGAAGCGACTAATGCATCTTAAATAGCCTCTATACGAATGCGATTATTTTCGTATCTAAGATTAAAAATATTTTCCTCGTTCTCCTAGAAATGTCTCCGTGAATAAGCGATCTAAGCGGAGCCTAATGGCGCAGTTACAATATGCGGAAAATTTATCGAGACTCATAGTGTAAACACGAACTTCAGTTAGTTTCGCCGTGCGTCGCCCATACTTCGGTGTGTGAGCTCGCGCTTTGTCTCGGTCAATTTCCTGCATAGTGTAAGTGCGCCATATGGTCGTATGTCATATCTTCAGACACGCGATTGCAGGAAATTGGCGGAGACGTAATAGTGTGAACACCATCTAGGTTTCTTTCTTTATCCCCCACTCGTGCGTCCGCATAGGGTACTTGGGCCAAGGTGTTACATATCTAACACAAATATTTTAAACGTAGGCGTAACCTGCCTAAACCACATATGCACCCAAACGGCAATTTTCCACCACACCGTAGTTCCGGCACCAATCACGTAGTTCCGGTCTCCGGCCCGCTCGGACCTCCCGCGGTAATTTGAACCACTTTAGAGCGCGTTGATTTATGGCCCCTGCATGATGGGGCCGTAAATAACCCTAAAATACTAATAGCAGCTGAATATTTCACTTGCTCTGTCAACGAGAACAAAACAAATGGACGTTGAAAACGCGAAAATTTCTATGGCATTTCCCTTTTTTTAATTATTGCAAGTTATGGCATTTCAAGATTTTAACTAAAATAGTATTTTCTTAAACACAGTCCGAATTTAGTTATTAAATGTTATTAACGTTTGCGAGTCTCTTGAGTGTTTTTTCTGTTGCTTTTTGATCATTACCGATAAATAAAAACTGTCGACAGCTATCAAAGAAAGAAGTCATTTCATACCCAGTCATTATAAAAATAAAGCATGTCAGAAGCAAACAGGATTAATCTTTAAGAATTTATGAAGGAAGCCTTAAATAAAGTAATTAACGTTTTTATTGAGAAGCAAATAAAAGCACTCGGTGACATGATGGCGCTATCAAGTAATAAAACTTTAAACTTGAATTTAGTGATTTGTATGACAGGAAAATAACCAAATTCAATTAAGCTTATAATAAACTAATTCATTGGAGTGAAGCTCTCAACTTTAAACAGAAATAACTACAAAAAAAAAGTTAGCTTATTTCCGTTATCATTAATTGTATTTTTATCTCATTTAAAAAAGATTTGCCATTATCATCACTAAAATTATATTTTTAGTAGGCCATAATTTACATTTTAATTGCTCTGAGTATTGTTATAATGATGACCTATTGCGCATACCCATGTTAAATACCAACTATGTCGATTGATTTATTGAGAATTTTAATTCGCCTTAACAAGTTCCCACCTTTATGCCTTTAATGGCTACTAACAAGCAGTAATTGAATAAATAAGACGTAATTTATCCCATTTTTGGTTTACATAAAACCAAATAGCCAGTAGAAGCCTATAATCTAAATTATCTACACCACTTACGAGCCAAATCTGGGGCAGATGAGACGCAGCCTGAACGAAATCAGCCTGCCCATTTAGAGCGTGCTCTATCCAGAAGACCTTTTGCATTTGTTTTAAGTATGTACGATTGAACAATAAGGCTGAGTTGCATCATCTTACTTTAACCGTAACTGCAACAATAATCGGTGTTTTATGTAGAATTTGACAGACCATTTGACGTTTGTTGTAGTCAAAGTAAGATCCAGCCTAAGACTTGCAGAAGATTAAACATAGGCATGGTATTTAAAAGATCTCGTCATATTAATGATCGCGCATGAAACTGAAAAAAAAAGTAATTTCTTATATTGAAATTATAACATGTGCTTATAGTTCCTTGCCACAACTTTCTATGATTTTGGCTGGATAATTATAACAAAACTATTGTTCAAAATGAGCTGGCTGTTCAGAGCCGGCTGAGCAGACGGAGGAGCTGATTTATGAAGGCTGCACATATCTGTTATCGCGCCGACTGATGTATGCCCCCTTGATTTATGGCCGCTTTTTGTGGGGCGTGTTTGATGACCGGTTATGGCCTATTAACAGTTCAATTGTTTTCTATTTTTTTCTTATTCCTTTCGAAGCTCGGAAAGCCCCTTTGATTTGGAGTCAGAGGTAGGTATAAAGGCGCAAAATAATATAGGTACTTCGCCGATCGAGAAAGGAATATTTCATCACTGTTTTTTAACTCTGAAGTAACTA